AGTCAGTACATTGGACAGACTGGGAGATGCGTCAACCACCGACTCAGAGAACATAACTTGGAAGCATCAAAGGCTTCAGCTGAGTCGTATCACCCCATTGTCGTTCACAGCCGCACATGCGATGACTGTACTCCTCATTTTTCTAATACTAAGATACTGGGAGGGCACAACAACAGATTTGGGAGAGAAATCATCGAGTCATTTGCTATGGGGACTGTTAACAACAACATTTCTGCACCGTCATTATCATTGACAAAGACAGAGGTCGAATTCTTAACACCAGAGATAACTAGAATATTGACACCTCGTCGTGACGCTACAGATTTTTAAACTCTTATATTTATAGTACAATTCTCTTTTTGGGCTGCAAACAAGAATAATTCTGCATTATCACTGACAATGACCAAGGTTAATTCTAACTAATCGAAAATAACTTGATTACTGATGCGCTTTTCAAACTTTTTTTTTTAGTGTAGTCCCTTTCCTTCATAACTAGTATCTCCTTTCCCTCTTTGAGAACGCTGAGACCCTTGGAGGCGGTTTTTTATCGTTGTGCCATTCTATGTTGTTGCTAAATGAAAGATGTCCTGTTCTCGTCCTCGTCCTCTCTGTTTTATACTTTCAAGTTTTGTATGAGTTTTCTTGCCATTCTTGATTATTACTTGCAGTCAACGATAGTGAAGTATGAAGGGAAAAAGTATTTACAGAAAGAGGGAGTATGCATTGGGTCGAGTGTCGCACCGGCGTTAGCGGAAATTTACCTTAATTCTTTGGATTGTATTGTATCTGATAGATTGCAGGAGATGACGTCGGAGTCCTGTTTTGTGAAAAGATATGTCGATGACATTTTGATCTGTTCTTTTCGGGAGGGATTATCTGACACTCTGGAAGCATTGATCAGATCGGCAGCCCCGGAACTGAAGTTTACGGTCGAACGACCTACGAATGGTAGACTGCAGTTCTTAGAACTTATGATTCACAATGAAAAAGGGCTATGTTGGGAATATGGAAAAGAAAACGCAAAACCGCTGCTGTCAAAAAAGAGTTGCCATTCAAAAACAGTGAAAGCGGGTATTGTAAAGTCTTTAATCACAAATGCAATGGAAAGATCATGTACACATTTCTTGGATGAATCGGTAGAAAGACAGTGGAGAAGGCTAAACGGTGCTGGTTATGAGGATGAATTCGTAAGGAAGCAGTTATCCGTAAAATTCGCAAACAAATGTGCAGGAGAACCAAAGCAAAGGCCAAAAAATAGAACTATTGTAATTCCATTTTATCACAAAATTTCTCACAACTTAAAGGCTTGTGCCAAGAAGTTCAATGTAGATCTGGTTTTTAGTTCGGATTATAAGTTAAGTAAGCTCACACCCTTCCACAAAAGTGTAAGGGAATGCGCAAAAACGCACCGAGAAAAGTCTATTCCGTGTGGTAATGGAGTGGTATATGAAATCCCCCTGGAATGTGGCTTTAAATATGTGGGGCAGACGTCAAGGTGTATAAATGACAGATTGACTGAACACAAAAGGAATGTCAAAAACAACGTTGCCAATTCGGAAATAGCGAAACATGTTCAAGAATGTAATAATTGTATACCCCACTGGTCTGAAACAGAGATAATACACTGGAGTTAAACGACATCAAAAGGGTTGTAAAAGAAACAATAAGAATGAAATCAATGGGCAACTGCATTAGTCAGGTGTCGTTACAGCTTAGCAGCAGCGCAAAATCATTCTTGCGGATTTGAAAGTTTTGTGAAGTGCTTGTTGAATGTGAAGGTGTAAGTGGTTTCTTCCTTTGTGTATCACGTGGATTGATATCTTCTGTTACCGGGATGCTTTGTGATTATGGGTCGGAGAGTAGAGGGAGAGAGTGTACTGTGTACGCAAAGGATTCAGACAAGTGTCTTCCGGATGAGGGGAGCTATTGTTCATTGCTTTGTGGAAAACGTCAAGGTCGTTTGACAATTGTGGTGGAAAGATGTGAGACCTATGTTATCTTTTGGCTTTCGAGATCGGGAAGGTGCTGTGGTGAAGTTTGTGGAGTGTATATAAGAAGGTGACGAAATAAACTTGTCTTTAGCTCTGTTAGAGACGTGTCTTCGACTGTTCATTTTTCTTCTACTTCGAAACTTTCCTCTTTTCCTGCCTCAGTCTCGGGCTAAGAACAAAATGTGTGAAAAGTGGGTTCGCCACCACGGCACTAACATCTGCCTTAAACAAGTCATGTAAACACCAGATCAAGAAGAATTTTGACACTCAGATATCTAGGCTCCGTCCGGAAACACTACCGGTAAAAATAAGTGAAACAAATCTCCCAGAAGTTGAAGCGCGGACAGGAAGGCACCGAGCGAACAAGAAAGAAAAATACTGGAAATCCCGTAGTGGTAGCACCATACCTTGATGGCATCACTCATCGACTGAAAAAGATCGCAGGATAGCAAGGGGTTCAGGTGATAAGCTCTGCGCCGAACAAGGGGTATTCTACGTGCGGCAGGGTAAGCGAAAACCAAGGTAGGCACCGAGAAGCACGTAACATCGCACACAAAACACGGTACGTCCAATGTCAAAAAGAAGTCATTTATAACATCCCATTAACATCTGGAAGGAGTTATATTGAGCAGACAGGGCGCTGTTTTAATGATAGAACCAGGGAACACGCCACATCTCTGCGAAACTTGACAGCAACAGTACACCTTGCAGCCCATTGTCGCGCCTGCCAATGCGAGGCAGTGTTGTGCAACGTGAACATCGTGGTGCGACATAAACATCAACTCGCCCGTGAACTGCTGGAAGACCTAGCCATCGAAGAAAAAGGCGAGGACTGTGTTAGTGTACCTTCCGTTGCACTACACAACCCAGAGAAGATTTTTCTGCGGAGTAACATGAGTTCCAGGCAAAGGTAGAAAAAGAGGAGGATCGCTTAGAGAAGACAGAAGAGAAGAAATAAGAACATTCCGACAGCAAAAACGTCAATGCGTTGCAGGAAGAGAAATTCCGAATTAAGTGTAAAGAAAACGAAGACCTAAATCAGTTGTGAAGAATTAAAACGTTTTAAGTTATTGTAAAGTAAAAGAAAACCATCACCAAGGATTAGCAGAAAAGAAAAAGAGGCATTATTAAATGTTGCTGGTCCAGCGGTGCCAATTTTATCATATTTTCTCTGTGTGTTTTTTGTGTTCAGCTCGCCCCATTCACATGTTGATATCGTCGGCATACATTTTTATAAAGCGTTTATTAGGCTAACACACGGAAAACTATCAAAATCAAATTGCTTTGGACTACATCAGATTATTATTAACAGCGTTCAATCTTACTATATTAAACCAGGGGTCTTCACACTTTTTGACTAAGGGGCCGGTTAGGCATCTTGCACAGTCATAAGGATGGGGAGGAAAAAGTGATTATAAACGAACAAAAGCTATCTCAATAAACCCAACTAAGAATTTAAACACAAAAATGAATGGTAAAGCAAGTACAGGAAATAAAAACCTAAGTTGGATGAATAGATTTATTTCAGTTTGAAATTTAATATTTAGTTCACTATGAAGTTACGCAACAATTATGACCACGAAAAGTCGCCAAACATAAACCAAAACGCGAGGAAACTTCGGCAAATTCGCGCAGCGCAAAAGACTATTGAAATAAATAAAACTAATGCTGACACGATGTACATAAGTACAAAACGGCATTTTTACATAGTTACAAAATTGAAGCATAAATCCTTAGACTAAGAATGGTGATACTGGCTATGAACAATTTTAGTCATGTCGAAAAAACCCCGTTGAAATGCAGTTACTTTCAGGTCAGACGTTGTCAGGACGATTGTACTACCTGTTCAACAGTAAGTTCTCCGCCACAACTAACATCACTAAATGTATGTCTTGACAGTATAGAGGAATCGTGCTACACGTGAAATATAAAAGTACATTTTGTAAAGTTTTTATGTGCCCATATTACTAAGAATCGGACCTTCCTTTTTTTCGATAATTCTGTGGCGACAAAGAACTGGGAATAGTGTAAGACTTCAAGTATCTCGGGGTTACCCTCCCAAAACATCTGACGCGGAGAAAACGCATTGATACTGCCTGCTTAGCACATAGAGGAATATATTCTAGCTAATAAACAAATTAAGGCAAGCAACCTGACAAGTTAAAACTGGCTCGTATGGAACATACATAAACCCCACGTTAGAAGACAATTGTGATATATGATACCCTTAGAACAAAATATTGATAAATTGATAAACGAAGGTGCAAAGGCAAGCTTCTGGCTTTATTCACTCCAACTACCGAAAATGACATCTCTAACGGAAATACTCCAATGAGCAATCTACAACAATTTCAGACAAGGCGAGAAATCCAAAGCTTAAAATGACTTTTTTTTTTAATTATTAACAGCAAGTTTAGTTGTACCCCAAATACATATATTCGCCCAGCAGGTAAGAAGGGTGAGGCAGATTACTCCAATCCAAAACAATCCAAACGTCCTACAGTCGAACCGATCTTTTCAAGCAATACTACTTTTTTCTTATAAGACCGATTGAAGCCAGGAGCCGACTGCCGCACAAAATCGTGTGTGTAGAAACGGCAGCCCAGCCTTTGTACATTAATCAATCAGCTGGTAACCTCTTAGAGTCACAAACTTGTGCTGCGTAGGTGTTAATATGTGTTAATTGTCAGCCGCTCCCTGCATTGATTTGTGCATATTTGTAACGGATACCCTTTGTGTAATGCCACTCAAGAGAGTGTTCATAGTATTTTCAAATAAATCAACAAAAACAAAATATCGAGCTTCTCTAAGATGCTCCTGCATATTTTAAGTCTCGTTTCGATTGGTTTACTAGGCAAACCCACAGCGCAATAAAATATTAATTTAAGAGATTCTTTAACAACGCGATCTAGTGCACCGGGATGATTGTTTTGAGCCTAAGGAAGGAAAAGGGAAAATTTAAAATGGATCTCGACTGCTCTAAAATTTATTTTTCGTTTGGGTACTTACGGATGTCGTTAGTCAAACGACCGTAAAACGCATTTGTCTCTGTCGCACCTGTGAACCACCTGCACAGTTTCATAAAAAAGTGTAACTCTACACATGAGTGATATCTATATGAAACAAATAAATTCGAGAAAGCAGCCATTGACAATACTCACTCATCTTCTTTCTTATATCGTTTTCGTAAAGTCAGAAGTTCTTGAATGTAGATATTTAAATTCAGGCCGTGCCGAACAATCAGATATGAATAGTTCAAAAATATTGCAGGCGCCTATAAAAATCAAAACAAAAAAAAAACACACACTCACACACACATATGTTCATAATTTGCATGTATCGTGGTTTTTTCTTCTTAAAATATAAACCATATTTTAGGACTATGGAGAACAAAGTATAGCTTGTTATTGTAAATGTTACGCGGTGCGGACCATCGTATAAGTACGGACTACGCAAGAATTTGTTTCTCCTTGATCTTGCTTTCTGACGATACAGGACGGATTTTTTGAATGGAAGAATAGTTTAATGATGATTTCTGTATGATGCAAGATACTTCTTGAGCTTAAAAAGGAGGCATTTGTGAAATGTGTACTGTGTTTGAAATTATGTTTTCCCGTTTACTTGGGATCAGGTGCGAACTGTGAACCGGGTGTGAATTATGCAGCAGGTGCTTATAATCGAAGGGAAACCTTTTTTTTTTTAACCAGAATTTGTCTTGAGCGGACTATGCACTGACAGCCTAGTCAAGTCTGAAGATGGGGTGCTCACATATAGCACATCTAATGATAATTACGTTAAATTCACTTTGCCTTCGAGTCGAGCACTTATTTATTTCAACTGTACTTTTTGAAATATTCAGAGTTTTGATGAACACCCTCTATATCCGGCCAGCCGCATGTACAGGGTGCTTGGTTTTTAACTCAAACATATATTTTTTGGTAAAAAGGAGGTGAGGGTTAGGCGAGTGCCGGTCTTCGCCCTGTTTTTATCAAGCAGAACAAAAACTATATGAGAGAATAATCGCCATGATACGTTAGCTCTTTATTTATATTGTTTAATTAATTCTAAATGTTGATTTTAGGGAATACGTTTAAATTGCAGTACTGACAGAAATTATTATTACAGGACAGAACGAACGACAAGTGTAGCAATACTACATAAGTTATTAGGATTTAATTTTTATCAACTTTTACATTTTTATTCCAATTTAAAAATGGCCCGCAAAAAGGGTGTCGCAGCTCTGCCGACAATGTCGCTTGGAAGAGTGACGCAGTCGTTTCAGTCACGTTTTCACTATCTCGGCAGTCTGTTCTTGGTCGGTGCGCCGACGACACGTGTCGACGTGACCGAAACGACCACGTCACTCTACTAAGCGTCAATGTGGGCAGGGCTAACGCCCATTTTCCTATTGCACCTTCCCATTTTTTATTGGTCTTTCCTTTGGCAGCAATTGCCGTCAATAGGATATATACGTAAAGCCCCTCGATGTGTTTGCGTTTGTCTTGCAAGTAGCGTGAAACACGCCAGTGCACAAGGCTCGTTTCTCAAGCCGCCCTAGGAGGCGAATGGCGGCGGAGCACCCGCTCGTGGTACGTGTCTTGTGCGTTTCCACAACGATTATTGGCGGTACTGGTAAAAACGCCTTTATCAAGGAGCATATATGAAATGCGCAGAGTCATCTACTAGGCGCGAGAAGATCTAGATCCGCCATCTTAGTTAGGTCCAGAAAAGCTGCTGGACAGGTTAGTGCGCCCTGGTCTGTGCTCCACCATTTTCTTGTTCTACCGGTTAGACGTCGTGAAATTGCTGTGTCCCTCCCTGCAAGCAACACGGCGCCCACGAAAGCAATGGGAACAATGTATGTGTCACAACTGTATCGTTTATTCGTTTATTATTCCTATTCGAGCCCTTGAGCAGTTAGCACGAGGAAACCGCCGTCGGGTTTTCCTTTTTTATTTTGACAGTTGAAATCATACCTCTAAAAACTACGTATGTCTTGAAAATAACTCTTTGGGGGAACTGAAATGGGTGCTGAAACTTTGCGTTTTTTAATTTTCTGTTCGAAAATAACGCAAAAAGCGCCGGTGTCATGTTTGCACTAACAGTCTCGCGATGTGTACACTTAGAGTGAACAAAAGGATGCTATCTATCGCTAATGTAATGTACTGTAGAAAAGGCCACGGCTGATTTCAACCTACAGGATTTATGTATATCGGGGACTGCAACCTTTCAAGATATAACTGTAATGGAGCAAACCTTTTGATTTCCTTCTCTACCGCGATGCATTCGTGACGTGTGCTTTAAATCTCGGTGAATTTCTAAGAGTGAATCACTCTATTGCTTGTAAGCTTCTTTGGTACACTTCGGTGGCTGTAAGTGCTAAAAACCCACACCGCGAAGATACTGCTCTAACCTACATAAAGCCTCACTCACAGCAAGGTGCAAGCCCGTTGTGAGCCTATGTTTCCTAATGATTTTACCGTTTCGCGTCTTTTCAACTTGTTAGTTCACTGAAGTGCCACTATGACGTCACAAGTGCAAATAAACTACAACGGCGTCTACAGCACCGCCTTTGCAGCGAGCGCGACGCTTTTGAGTGTCTTCTCTGCGCGAGTTTTCATGTACAAAACGAATTATGCGTGTCAGCCACATCGCCATCGCGGGCACCTAATTTGTAGCAACTAGGTGTCCGTGATGGCGATGTGGCTCACATGCGAAGCCAAGTTCTCAAAATCGTCCTTTCGTGTGCGCAGAACACAATTTGTGAGATGGGATGTGCAGGGAAATGGTGTCGGCGTGCCTCAGAAGTAAATGTGGCGACTGAAATCAGAAGTAGGTTGCTCCCGATTTTAAATACGCACGAATAGACGCGATCTGTTCGTAGATCCTGCGTTGTTTCTAAAACACACTTTTAGCAAGAGTAACTTCCTTGGTCCATGTTCATATGCAACAGTACTTGCATACCTTGAATCGCGGATCTGTGTCGACACTGATGAGGGCCGCGTGTACGCTCCGACGGCAAAACGCGTACGACTTGCTCTGCTGGTGAGACGACGTCGGTGTCGACGCGCAAAAGTTGCGAGCGTGTCTTCAGAAAGGCCATGTAAAGCTTGTAAATTGTTTCGCCGCATGCTATGGTTTGACTTCGGAAAATTTCCTTGTTGCGTCAATCCTCCGGCGGCCTACATGGTTCATGAACGCGCTGAAGCGGCTCTCCGACTTTCCAAGTTCGACTTAACAAAGATGGCCGATATGAAGCTTGCACTGAATGTTGCGAGACGTGCTAGAAATTCGTACATCTCCTCTAATGCCGTTGCAGCATGACCCTAAAAAGTAATAACTAAAAAGTTCACGAACGGATTTTAGTTTAAATAGCCTGTTTCTTATGACGACTTTCTCCTCAACTAATGTCATCCAAGCTTTAAAAATAAATTGTAAAGATGGCATTCGTCTAACTCACACTCAGTTTAACGAGACAGATGAAATTGTAATGAAACACCTTGTATATAAAATATCACAAAAAAATGCAACCTATAGGCTGTAGTGCCATATTTATGCAACCTTGGTGGATATCAAGTCTAGAACGCCTATAAATCTCTGCAACATAGAAACAAATGTTACCACATTATGAAATATTATTATTCTGTAATTGACGTAATATAACTTACGTATTCGTAAAGGCCATTAAGGTACGTGTCGTTCAGAATCCAAGGAGGGTAACCGATTTTCGCTACCATTTTTTGAAGCTGAAATGAATGACCTCATTAGTACATGCTCACAAAACGGATAAGGGTCAGTACCTTCTCCCTTGCTTCCTTACGTGTAGAGTTATCCATCCATGTATTGTTTTCAATCATCTCTCCATAAGTACTGTTAAGCACACCCACTAATTCGTCCATCTGATTAAAACAAAAAATCGTCTTAAAAGAATTTTTAATATCTTATCGCAGGAATTTTGACCTGTACAATTTATATCTTCACCACATATTTTGTGAAATATCCCAAGATACAAAATACAAGTAATGTACTGTTTTTATCACAAAACAATTGGTCACTTACGCAAAACGCCAGCTCCATACATTTTTTTCTTCTTTGTACTATATTTGGCATAGCCGGGCCCCTGCTCCCATGGATTTCGACATATAGCAAAATGAACAAGGCAGCAAAATTCTAAAGCGTTGTAAGCAGCTTACAAAGCTATACATTCCAACGTTGATCACATTACACAAGTTGAAGTGACCGCTAAGGCGATCGTCGTCGTCGTCGCCGCAACTCGAGCTGATGGAATGAGCTCGAGCACATCAATCTGCGAGGTGATTAGCTAGAATCTAGCAATGTCTCTTCGGCCTGTCATACTGTAATAAACAGTTAAATAGTAACCGACCCACGGAATCACTACACTGGCGAGGAGGGTCAAGACAAGAGCGGACTGAACAGGAGTAGATCACATTCATGCAACGAGGATGGTGGAGAATTCTACCCATCGCTTATATGGTCCCGAGACATTCCGCCCGACGAGGAGCGATTGAGACTGTATCATGTAAAGTTCCATGCTTGTCTTGATGTCGATAAAGTTATGGTGGGCGCGGACAAGAACTTATTGATCGCGTCAGTTCGTGCCGACACATTCAAGATGCTGAATAGCTTCTCGAATAAAGCGTATCAGGAGCTAGTAAAGAAACTAAAAAAACACATAACACCTAAGTAATAGAAAGAATTTGATCGGGCGAAACTGTTTTCGGCTCGTCAGGAAAGAAAAATGAAATCCTGCTTGCAGAGCTCTCACATTTTGTTAGCACCTGTTCACCTGTCTCGATATTTCTGATCTTTAAATTTGCATCGAATGACCTTTCATTGAATGACCTTGAATTTGCATTTTTCTATTTTTATAATTCTGCTGCGCAAAAAGCGGTTTTGTATTCTTTATTTTCTTTCCCTTTTCATGAACACCATTTGATATATTTCGTTCATTGACCCTAGTACAAACTTGTCTAAAAATCATGTGTTTTAGACTATTCGACTATTCCGTAAAAATATCTATAATTCTTATGTTTTAGTTTGTCTTTGCTATTGAATAATAATCATTTGGTAGTTTCCAATTTGATTAGATTTGGCTATTGAATTTATTTGAAAATTTTGTGTAGTGTGTCTTTTTTCGTCTTAATGTTTATGTGGCCCGCTGAACACCCAGAAAGGGCTAATCCTTGTCAGGCACTTGCTCAGTTTGCCTTAGGCCCTTCTGTAGAAGAATCCGCAAACACAAATATACATTAAAAAGGAAGAAGTATAAATGGGTCAAATACTTCATAGCACTGCTTCGAACAATCGTCACCAACTGCGAGTATGAACCTGAAGCGACTGCCCAATGTTGCACGCTTTTGAAAGCATTCATCGTCAGTCTCCGTGACACAGCCGTCCGTGCACGCCTGCTACTCGAGACTCCAGACGGATCTCAGTCTTGACGGTGCCCTCCGCTTGGCTGAGTCCTACCCCAAAGCCGAAGCGGAGTCACAACGCCTAGACGGAGGAGACCACTCTGCGCTGCTCGTCGAATAGGTTTAGCAGTTTACTTCTGCACAGTGTTGGTAAAGTACAACTAAAGGGCACTTCAAGTAAGGTACAAATTAATGAGACATGGTGTACTTCAAGTAAAGTAGTAAGTATACTGGATGCAATGTACTTGAAGTAAAGTTATATAAATACAATGTACTTTCAAAGTAAAGTTCAAATATTTTAACACAATCATTGATGATGAACTTTCAGTCACCTATACTGTGATTTTTTAACTGGTATGCATCGCTCAAGGGTAATCAGGGGTGCATGACCTATTTTCAAAAACAGCGGCGAATATTTGATAAAGTGAAGTGACCACAGTATTTTTTTTTCAATAACTTAGCCAAATTGAGAAGTTCCTCTTCTGAAGTAGGCGCAGCTTGCTCTGGTTTGTTGCACTCAGGGTGGCTGGATTGTTGCACCCAAGGTGGTTACACCAGGAGAGAGCATGACGTCCGCCCCTAGGTTTCGCAAACAATTTTTTCACGCAGGAATGTCCTCGCAAGCAAACGGTTATATTTTATCATAATGCGACACCTGAGATTGAGGTGCGAAAAAATTAAGTAACTTTCAAGTCGAGGGAAAAGACAAAAAAGAATCTGTCTAAACATCGTGAAGTTCTCCATGTGTTGTCTTTTTGTTCGACTTGAAAGTTTAACTTTTTCTCACCGCAGTTTCAGGCGCTACATTGTGATCAATTTTGCTCTCATAATATTTTACACCTTTTTGCTTGCGCTGACCGAACGAAGAATAGCGAGATAAGAAAGGCTACGGGAAAGCCGCCCAGAACAAACAGAGCGATGCGTAGTCTGCTCACGTTTCTGGTGAGAGTAGTATATTCCTCCCAGTATTTCATCGGAATTTACAAAACATCATTTCGTATTACAAATTTAACAAAACCATATTTAGGAAATGTACTTTGAAGTCTGAAATTCTGCTTTCCTCAGAAAGTACAAGAAAAAAAATACTTTAGGTAAAGTACATGTCCATACTCAGAGAATGTACTTCAAGTAAAGGTCAAGTTTCCTAAACCTACTTGAAGTAGTACTTGAAGTACGATGTACTTGAAGTACTTCCCAACACTGCTTCTTCACTACTCAAATGTTTCCGATGCCGCAATACCAACCACACAGAATGCGCCTGACGCTTCCGAGATGAGTTATGCATCAGATCATGATGTTTCAACCCTGAGACTCTCAAGGGAGCTTGAAGACAAATAAAAGAAACAGCATAAAGGTGAGACAAGCATCTGAAACTCAGCTAATAAAATTTATTTCATGAAACGTTTTATATCCTTCTCCAAAGTCGTCCACAGCGTAGAAAAAAAGAGCACACCAATTTGTTTACAATTTCACTAAATTTTAAGTCAGCTTTTATGTTGTAGACGACCTCGGCAGAAGGTTATAAAAGCGTTGTTTTAAATAAATTTTGTTAGATGATACACATAGCAGAGCGCGTTGGATAGAGTACAGTTCACACTGAAAGTATAAAAACACAGAAAATACACGAGGGACAGACACACACAGTTCTTTCAACGAGCAACTACATTTTAAATGTAGTTGCTCGTTGAAAGAGCTGTGTGTGTCTGTCCCTCGTGTATTTTCTGTGTTTTTACTCTTTCAGTGTGAATTTGTTAGATGAGTTTAAGTCGTTTGTCTACCACCTCTCTTCAGTTTGTTCTAAGTTATCTTCAAGTTTCCTCTCAGTCTCGTGGTTTAGAAATAATGATTAATACGCACGAGCTCGCCTGCACGTTGACCATTTTTTCATGAGTGATGCAATGCCTGTGTTAAAGGGTGACTGCAAAAAAACGTTTTTTTTTAAGCAGACTAAATGCGAACAAGCATGTCCCAAAACAAATCTTCCGCGAATAATTTCTTTTTGGAATATTTACGTTGTAGGACGTAGTTTAGTCGGAGCCAGAACCTCTTCACATTTCAAACTCCCGCTCTGTCGACCCCCGCGGAGAAGTACGCCCCGCCCCTAACTCTTGGTTTTGCTCTTGGATTGACGTAGCTGCGGAGTTGAACGACGTACGCAGCGTCTCGACTTCCGGTGCGTCTTGTCGAAGATACTCCTGGGATCAGCGGGGGGGGGGGGGGGGGGGGGGGGGGTGGAAGAGGTGCCGCCGATGTATTCTGAAAGCTAGAGCGGGTTTCCGTTCGTAGTTTTTCTTTGGTCGGAGCAAATCTGGTAACAACGTGCGTTCAACAAGGCGCCGGTATTCTTTTTGTTTGACGGAAATTGATCAGCTCTGCGGTTTGCGAGCATATATAGCGAAGTCTTGACCATAGAAGTTCCCCCGTGATGTTTCCGAAAGACGAAAAGTATCCTGCGTAATCGTCGTGTGTGCTTTAAAAGCGAAGGGCGTCACAGGGTCCAACGTTCATGACAGCGCTGCTTTGACTTCGGAGATCTCGTTGTGTTAGGTGCAACACCTCGATGCGACAAAGAACTGAAACGTTCGTGGTGTGTGGTGCGAAGCTTGGAAGTAGAAACCCACACTAACAAGGAGCGCAAATTGGCTGTTGCGGGGTTGAGGTTCAACGTGTTCACACTTGGTTCAGTCCCGTCGTCGTCAGATGATTCGGTCCAGCTGGTCCGCGATGACGTAGCGGGCGTCTTTAAAAGTAAATCTTTCAATTCGTTCCGTTTCAAATTGTGGAAGATTTCCGACGCATACCGTCAGTAGAAAGCTGCGCGTGGTTTTAACAAAAATTACGTCATTTTAAACGAACAATGGACTCCGCATTTTTGTCCTACATCTGCCTTTTCATGCTTTGTGTTGTTGGACTGCGTTTGCACAGCGACGTGTTTGCACAGCGACGCACACCGCTCGAGTAGATGATTCGGTGCTGCAACCGACCGGCTATACAGAATTTGAGGGAGACATAAGTCACCAACGATATTTTAATCGAAATGTCTTGCCATTTTTTTTTGCACATCATCTGGTGTGAATAAACTTGGGCATGATTTGCTACCTGCCCACAGATTCATGAACTGAGACCAGTTTTTACATAGCAAACTTGGTGCGTCTTTAAATTCGGTAGAGGTGTTGGTGCATTTATTATGGCACAATCACTTGAGAGTTCAGAAATTCGGGAGGGCGAGCAAGCTTTCCCAACTTTGTCTCTTTTCTCTCTGGCACTGCTCTAGTTCCAGGTTTCATTTTCAGTAGGCATATCTACTAGCAGGTACAACTGCTCTAAAGCAGGTAAAGGACTAGGGATTCAGGACGCTGCGGACTCCTTGTTTTGCGTTTTTCTCAAGGGGACTGGGAAAGTGCTTTTGCGAGTAATGCGGAATATGCAAACAATTTTGTTATGTCCGTCGTTTGCGTCTGTCC